ACTTATTTGAGTAGCCTCATTTAAGTTGCCTGCATCTTTTCACTGCTCCGTGTGATAGGATTTAGAATATGGATCTCTGGAATGCAACACTTTAAGGGTCAAAGGTGAACTCTTCCCAGATTATTTATTAACTATTGCTTGAATGTTGCATTGTGGATTGCTGGAAAGGGAGTTCACCATAGATGGTCTATAAGGTACCAAGTCTAACCTCTATGCTTATAAAGAGTACTCTAGTAATGGTCCAGAGCAGTACACTTGTAATAGTCATAGTACAGTATGTGGAGCTATTGTACAAGATTATGTATTTTCACAAATAAATGTCTGTCTTTTTAAAAACAAACAAAAAAAACCCACAATGTCTCAACGTGCTGTTGATCTCCTGACAGGAATTTATTTTAGATTTATTAGAATTTTATTATTTTACCTTTAGAAATGAAGGAAGGAGGTTAAAGGTTTATAAACTAATATATTTACACTAATTTTACCTGTTCTCAGGTAAAGAGGCTGGCTAATGCTGAAGGATCAATTTAGTTATGTAGCTTTTCTTCTACACACTTGCACCCTGTCAGTTTCTCTCTTTGCTGATAGGAACAATATGGCACAGCACAGTGGCATGACTATCTTCCATTCAACCATGACAAGGCACTAGTATAGTAAACTCTTGGGAAAGGGAAGAGGAAGAGAGAGAGAGAGAGAGAGGGTCACACTACCCTTACTTAATTAACCAGAATTCAGCATCAGACCTAGAACAGGAACATCTTGTAGTGATGTTTTACCTGCCTCTCAGGCTTGATGAGACTAGAGTAAGTGGAAGAGCCTACTGGTCAGAGATTGATCCTGTCTTGAGCTGCAGGAAATGGATGAATTTCAGTGTAAACTGAGACTCACTGACCTACTGGGGTCCAGATCTAACTTCAAATACCCCCAGAGGTAACATTTGGAGGTTGGATTTTTATTTGACCCTGACAGCTGTCTGGGTCTGAATTTGGATCCAGCATTAGAATCCAAATGGTGGAAATCTCATTCCACCATGTTTGCTTGCTTGCCCGCCTGCCCTCCCTCAGCCCCTGTTCCCCCACATCCCCTCTGTCTGCAGAGCCCCCACTCACTGCTCCTGTGTTTCTGAATGAGGCATCCACAAACCCCTTCCCATACCTGGCTTCCAGGTATTTGGTGCTTTGCAAGAGCTAGTAATTGACTTGATCCTCTTCTCCCCACTGAGGGCAGCCAGGGGTGGTAGCAGCAGCAGCATCTGTTCGCTGTGGGTGTGCCGCACAGGAACTGCACACCCAAAAACCTTTGTGTAGTCCCGGAGGTGGCTCCATTCAAAAGAGCCCAGGAAGGGTGGAGGCCTGTGGCTCTTCCTCCTAGAAGACAGCAAGGCTGAGTGTGGAATCTAATGGGCGGATGGAGCAAGGGGACCTGGGCAAGATCAGAGCTAGACCCCAGAAATAACAACTGTCCATTTCCAGGTTTTGGATTTGAATGGAAGATGGGGTAGGATCAGATATGCAGAAGCTGAGCACCACTGGGGGGATTCTGGTTCTTCTTTAAGTAACAGGGATCACTTTATCTCCTGTGGCTCATGAGTCACCATATCGCCATTGGTCTAGTCATGTGACTTGCTGTGTATCCTAGAACATGGGAAGTACCAGACTGGCTCAGACCCATGGTCCTTCTTGACCAATATCCTGTCTTTTATAGTGGCCGGTATCAGATGCTGAAGTGGATGATGTAAACAACTCCACAGTAGGCAGATGTGAGAATCTGCTCCTCATGAAGTGTTTGCCTAGCCCAGATAGCTAGAGATTAGTTTAAGATTTGAAGCATGAAAGCGTTAGATCCTTTCCAATAATCTTTTTAGCATTAACTGTTAATCTCTGAATAGTCTTATCCATATAAATATAGTCTCTTTGAATCTTGCCCAGTGCTTGACCTCAGCCAGATGGCCACGGGATCATCTAATTGTTGAATGGACGAAAAAGTATTTCTTTTGTATGTTTTGAATTTGCCATCTTCCAAGTCCATTGACTGTCCCCTCATTCTTGTGATGAGAGATAGGGGGAACAGAAGCACCTGATCCATCCTCTTTTTATATCCTGCCTTATTTTGGGTACTTCTATCATGGCCCTCTCGTATTTGTCTACTTTGTAAAGTAAACAATCCCAATCAAGAGTGAGCTCAAGCACAGGGTTTCCTGAATTTACTGAATGCAAATCTTGACTTTTTAAAGGGGGGAAAAAATCAATGGTGTAATGTCGTGACTGATGTAGATATGGCGTCAGTGTATCTTCTATTACATAGAATCAAATCCGCTCCAGTGTATGAGTATACATCCCCAGCTACTAGAGGGAGACAGTATAAAAGCCATAATCCTATTTCAACTAATGGTGATTTGCCTTTAGCTCTAGGGGCAGGGTCCTGTGGTTCTGGGGCAGGAAGATCTGAATTCTAGTGGATAGACTAGCAAGCAGGGTGGCTGGTGCATACAGCCCTAGATCATTAGTGTTGATTATTTTTCTTTTAAAACTACTTCTTGGCTTATTTAACAGTTATAACTTGTGCAGTAAATTGGATGTTGAACTAGAATTTCCTTTCAGTGTTAACTAAGTCAAGACCTAAGCTACTTATTAGCAAAGTCTCTGTCACTCTGACTACTTTTCCTTTTTTTCATTGCAGAAATTGTCTCGTACAACCAGAGATGAATATGATGTTCTGGGAACTAAAAAGAGAGGCTCTGACCTTGAAATGGGAGGGAGAAATCAGGTAACTTCCTCTCACCTGCACTCTTGTTTAACTTTCCTTTTGTGCTTAACCTCTCTCAAAGATGTGCATGTACCCATTCACACGATGGCCTGGGTAGTGTGTACAGGGTACCATTATCCTCTGTTAGCCACGCACGTCTGATGTGCCATCTCTGCTGCCCCACACGACTTGTCCACAACCAGAGCAGATGCCTTAATGCTAAAGCAGGTTACTGGAGATTCTCAAGTGACAGTTTAACCTTAAGCAGGCTTTTGCAGCTGGCAAGCTGCCGTGGTGTGGCTAGAATTGAGGGCTGCTGGATAGTGGCAGTGCGTCTTATTTAAAGGGCAACATAAACTGACTTGGTTGTGGAAATCCTGCACCAGCTCAACTTCTTGTGACAAGGGTCCTTCATGCCCTGAGCCACAGTGGGCTTAGGGCTAGACGTATTTCACGTAACCCCCTGAAACTATGGCATAGCTATGTTGCTGAGGGGTGTATGCATTTTGTTTTTTAAACCAGCAGAGCTGGGCCAGGACAAACTGCACTCTAGATTGTTTGGTTCAGGGAACTGACCCAAGCTACGTGCAGTTTTGGCAGCATACCTGTGTCCATTCTAGGAAGGCGTTGCTAGTATATCTCCACGGCTGCTTTTTTTTTAATCACCTCCCTAACATAGCTGTGCCCGGAACAATCTTTAGCTTAACACTCCCCTTGCAGGAGTGTTAAAACACCCTGCTAGCTGCTCATGCTGCAGCCTGTAGTTAACACTCTTCATGTCTCTCACAAGGCAAGGGATGACCTTGGATAAAGACAGAAGAGTCCTAACAAAGCACAAGGCTGGAGTCTTTGATGTGCAGACAGTAAAATCTTCACCCCTGCGCCTTTCTTAGGAGCTCACAACAACCCAGAATAGGAAATCACACTCCATCTCAAACCCAACGGATGTGGGCAGGGCATACAGGGGCTGAGTGTCTCACTGTAGATCTGTGTGACACTTTAGCAAGTGCCAGTGAAGTAACATGAGAGTCATAGTAACTGCAGTTGCTGAGACCTCACTGCTGTTGGAGAGGAAGAGGGAGGGGACGCCTTCCCCTTGCTCAGGGTTTCAGGGTTTTCCTGCCGAGGACAGCTATGCAGATCCAGGGAGGAAGGATTAGGTTTCAGTAAGCATAAAAAATAAAAATAAAAAACAACTCCTTCAAAGCAGCAGGAGCTCTTCTACCCACATCTGTCCAGGTGCCAGGCTGGAGAGCAGTATGCAGAAAAAGATGGCAGCAATATGCATCCACTGTGTACACTGGATACACAGAAACATGTCGGTACCTAGCCATAGCTATGAAAACAGCATGATTACTACACAGCCATATGCACAGAGGTAAAGGATGCTGACACTATGTTGTATACTCAGCTCTTCCCCTTTGTTTTTCAGCAGAGAAGAAAGAAGTCATCTCAGGACACAGTTTACACTGTGAGTAAATTAAGGAACTGCAGGGTGCTAAAGGCAGTGTTTGATACACACTCTCTCCCTCTCCCTCAGCAATGTCTCTGTGCTGATGTTGTGGGTCAGGTTTTGGATATGTTCCCCATGCTGACACCTTTCCCCAAAATGAGTTAGACTGACCTGCTTCATAGGGGGAGGATGGGGACTGCACAGAGATATACAGCCTACCCTTACTGCGCTAGTCTATGGAATATTTTTGCTTCCAGCTGGCCCCTGCCTGATCTCTCTGAAGCAGCATTGGCAGAACTTCCCTTGTAACTAACTGCATCCCCAGTAGCATCTTACTTGGGATACTGGTTCATTAACACAACCACAGTGAAGGAGAACAACATCCTACCCTAGGGGGTAGCAGAAAACAGTAGTGACCCGGAGAGTTAGCACTGGAGTCCTGGGAATTTTCAGCTGCACTTGAGTCAATCGGTTTCCCTTATAGACTTTCAGCACCACCTGAGTTAGCAGGGCCCTGAGCATTAGTAAATCCCTTCCCATAGCACATCCTCTTTCTCTGACCTTGCAGAGTTCCTTTTGCTCCCTCCCTCTATAGCCTGAGCAGTACCCATTGCCTGGCCCTCAGTTCAGTTTCTCTCTCTAAATGGGGTACCCTGAACCTTGGTGATATGGTGACCACCTTACAGCCAGAGGAGCTGTTCTGAACCTTGCTTGACCCTGGGATTTTCTAGTGAAAGAGCCAATTACCACTTAGTTGAGTTGGTGCGATGATGAAGTACTGGTAAAATAAATAGTCCGTTCGATTCCATCCATGCTGCATATTCATTGGCTTGCCCCATGCAATATGCTATACAAAGACCAACTGGTCTGAGGTATAGAGGAAAACCCTGCACATAGTACTAATCAATCTTGAGATGCTTCATGACTATAGTCCAAGAAAAGTCATCTGGTGGTGTATGAGAATGAAACAGGTGGCTGAAGGCTAGCCAGACTCAGCCAGGATCTGTATCAGGGAGCTGTTACCACAGTTAGAAGTCCACGTGGAGAAACTGAACAGTTTCTAGTAAGAGGTGGAGTACACCATGGCTTGGCAAAAAGTCCCTTTTTATTTACATGGGTACTTAATGCACGTTCAGAAAACAGCCAGAGCGTGGCACCCTGCCGCATGCTTTTTGCAGCTGATGATGTGCTTGTGGGGGAGAGCAAAGAGGAAATGAAAGAAGATTTCAGAGAGATGGAGGGGCATACTTGAACAAAATGGCATGAAAATCAGCTGCAATAAAACACAGGATGGGGCTGTAGATTTGATACCTTGCAGGCAGATGCCAACACTAAGTCTGGAGGGCAGCCATTACTAACAGGTACAGAAGTTCAAGGACCTAGGTTCGATAGTAGAGGATAAAGGTGAGCTCAGCAATGAACTTAAGCAGAACAGGAAAGGCATGGACTAAATGGAGAGAAGTGGGCTGACTGCTCTGCAATAGGCGAATGCCTAGCAAATTGAAAACCAAGATATTGCAAGACAGTAACGAGGCCTGCACATTTGTATGGCTCCAAATTCTGGGCACTGAGGGAGAGAGAGAGAAGCAGATCTTGAATACAGTGGAAATGAATGTATTAAGCTGGATGCTTGCAGTTAGAAGGATGGAGAAGAAGAATGGAAGAACATATAGGAAACAGGATTTTTAAGTTTAAGAGAAGGGGTGGAAGACTCAGAGCCAGACATCATAGAAAAGGATTTGATTAGCTGTCGAATTTCCAAGAATCTGCATTAAGACAGACTGGAATGGAGAAGGTCTGAAAGAACCAACCTCATATAGATGGAACTAAGGCCAGGAGTCGTCTGAGGGAGGGGAGGGATTAGAAGTGAAAGAGAGCGAAAGGAGAAGCTCTGCAGTGGGGCTAAGGATATCAATGGGGCTAGCATGGCTTCTTACACCGCTAATGCTGTTCTCTACATTTGGTTGCCAGTCTTTGCAGAAGGACAAGATGGGCGAGGCATACAGTGAAATTGGGAAGAAGGGAGAGGTGAGTGGTACCTTTCTTTTCAACCAGGGCAGGCATAATGATGCTAAACATTTTCCATCCCATATAAGAGGTTCCCACTACAACACACATCCTCATGACTATCACATACAAGGTGAATTCCCGATTTAAAAAAAAAAAACACCACCCCACTAAAGCAAGAATTGACTTCTTTCCAGTAGCAGCTGCAGTCTACTAGTGCTTTCCAAACAGCTAATACATTAAATATTGAAGTGCTTTGAGAGCTACTGATGAAAAGCATTCTACAAAAAACAGGTATTATTATTAATGTAACTTTTACTTTTCTGTTCATGACTTGAGTGCAACCTTAGAGGTTAGACAGAAGGTAGCATCCCATGGATACTAGAAACAAAAGGTTACACCACTGCCCTTATGCAGGGCATTCAGTTCTGTACCTGCAGAATAACTTCAGGGAAAAAATGAAATGTGCTGGTTTTTAAAAACCATTATACTAATTTTCTTCCTTCCCAGCTTAATTTAAGTTTCAGTGGAAAGTCTGAAGAAAATTGGTGCTGTAGTTTCAAAGTTCTGAACGTTTAATACCAAGTGAATTTGAGAATATATATCGGTTTGCAGACATAATTGGAAAAAATCTGTTGTGCACGCTTGCGGCACAGTTTACAAGTGCTCCAGTTTCCCCTCTCAAACGAAATAAAGGCGCTCATGGTTCTGGGTAAGGATCATACCCTTGCAGAGTTTCATCTCTCAAGCATCTTTATGGTAGTTCTTGCTAAAATTGTGTAGGTAGACTTGTTTTAAAAAATGTAAATACCCCTTTCCTGTCACTCAAACAGGTATGGGCCTGGGCTCGAAGTTCCAAACAAAAATTTACCCACAGAAAAAGACAAATTGGAGAATTTCATCCTCAATAAGAGTATATGGTTTCAGAAAGCTGTGAAAACAAGGGCATTTAGTGTAAACTTTAACTTTAGTGGGCACTACAGCTGATAATGTTCACCTAACCCCCTCAGATGGGGGTGTGCCTGCACCTTGTCACTCACCCTTTCGTACATACATTGTAGTGCCCAAGGACTGCTGCAGCGACTCTTTGAAATGTCACACTTGGAAACCTGCATCTTGCATGATGCTGTGGTCAGCTGGTTGATCTGACAAAACACCATTCCAAGGGAAATGCTTCATTGATTGATTGACATCCAGGTCATAAGGCAGGTTTTTCTTCTGAAAGCTGAGAGAGACAGACAGCGGTGGGGCTATTTACATGCATGTCATTTTACTGAATGCTGTCTGAGTTTGTTGTTTCCTAAAGGGCCCATGAGTGCTTCCTTTGCATCAGAAGCTGTTCACAAAATTAACGATGGGTGAATAGCTGAAGGTTAGGAAACTTACTGCATTGTCCTCTGTATTTAATAGAGTGCAGAGTCACTTAGCCCCCACATGGCATGCAGCAGTCACCACCTGAGAAATGAGGGCTATTTCTTAATTGTATCTAGCCTATAAAATAAGAGGCGCTTTTGTGAACACTATATATTGAAATACAGTAAATCACAGCACGCCCACTACATAAAGCAGTAGTGGCTATTAATCCATGGCTTCTCTTTTACTTCCCAAAGCACCAGAGGCGGCGAGGCAAAGGGAATGATGCTGTCTACCAGGTAGGGAGTGCATACATAGCAATGTTCTCATCAAATTCAGTGATTTGATTGCAGCTCCTAACTGTATGTCTAACCTTTGTTTGCTAATGGATGATGCTATGGGGCTCCAGAGTGTCTGTCTGACCAGAGGTGATGTGCTGCTGCAACTTCAAAGCTAAGACCACCCCACTGTAACCCTTGGTTAAAAGTAGCCCAGATCTTCTTGAATGTCCCTGCTATTTGGATTCTCTAGCAGGAGAGGGAGCTGCTCTACCCTAGTTCCAAAACTCCGGCAGCTGGACTTTCTAGAAGAATCATTTGCTCCCTCTGTCTGCTCTATAGCCTCTGCCCAGATAGGTCAGCTGTAACATGGAAAGGACGTGTCTGGTTGTTCTTGAAGTAGCCCAAAGTACCTGCTGTGTAATATGACTAACTGTTGGTTAATGGCTGCCTAGCAGCTGCAGCGACTCAAAGGTAAAATCAAAAGCTTAGTTCTCTTGGACAGCTACGGTCAACAAGCAGCTTTCGTTATCTTACAGAATAGAACAGGCAGGTTCATTAGGGGATTTTCTCTTGCACATGTGGCATTGACCACTAGTGGAGAGGGTAGGGTAGCAGCAGGGAGTGGAACCAGCACTGCACCACCAGCTCGAACTGGTATTTTTACCTGAACCGGAACTGAAAGAAAAAAAATTGGGCGAGGGGTTTAAAATAAAGGTTCGGCATTTTTAAGCTCAGTATTTTAAGCTATTGGAACTTATTTTCATGAGACAACAAACAGGCCTGGCTTGAGGCTTGTCTTCACTAAAAAGGCTGTAGCACTTCAGTGAAGATGCTGACAGGAGAGTGTCTCCGGTTGGCACAGGTCCTCCATCTCCCCACGAGGCAGTAGCTATGTTGAGGGGAGAAGCCCTCCTGGCGCCAGAGCACCGTCTACACCATGAGTTAGGTCAGTATAACTGTGCTGTAGCGATGCACTTAAACCAACCTAAGTTGCTAGTGTAGACCAAGCCCTAGTCTAAGGAGAATAGAAGGAGGCAAGTCCACAAGCACAGGGAAGGAGAGGAGCAGCTTAGGAGCTGCCTGTACACCAAATGAGGCAGCAGGGAGCCCAGAGATATATGAAGCATTGCTGGATATTTGTATGTGCCAATAAAAACCCATGGCAGTGAGTCCCAGAGCCCTGGGCAGCTGGCTCAGGCTGAAGTCCCGTCTTTGAGACCGGTTTCAGAACCAAAACATCTACACTGCTACTTTTAGTCCCAGCACCTGAACCCTGTGAGCTCATTGGGCTGGGCTCTGAGACCCTGTGCCATGGGTCTCTTATTGCTGTGTAGATGCACCCTCTGAGGTTCCCCTGCAGGGAGAGAACAGGTGGAATGCTCCCTGGTCCTAGGAGTTAGTAACTTTTCAAGCCCAAGGGAAAAAGGTAATAGCTCTCCATCCCCTGGGGCAATGCATTCCTTCAGATGCTCCCCCTGAGGCAGGGCCCATGCCCTAAACTCACTTACCCTTTCACTGCAGAGGTCCCATATAGGAAAGAGCAAATGGTCAAAGATGTGATCGGAGGGAACTAAAACAAAGTGTTCATAAAAAAGTTTAACATGAGTTTTCATAGTGTTTTCTGTTAAAGTTGAAAAATAAATAAATGGTCAAAATAAAAAAATAGCTTCAATTTTAAGTTTTAACTCTTTGAATTTACTTCCACCAAGACTGAAATTTGATGTGAATCAGTTCAAAACAGTAACCAAACTTTGTTTTGTTTTGGTGGCTTGAAGCAGAACTGAACTGAACCAAAACGTAGGCTTGACACCACCCCCGGCTACCAGCCCCGATGCCCTACTCCAGTCCTGAAGTTTATTTGGGTTCTTGGAGGAGCCTGGCAGATGTATTAAAGGCACTGAAGCTCAGATGATCATCTTATATTCCCTAGGGAAGTTCCTCATGGAGAGTCAAGGTGGGGGAACAGGGGGAAAAAGAGCTTTTTTTCCTTCTCTCCTATACTTAACTTCCGGTGAGCAACTTTGTCATGGTGGTCATACTTGTAGCTGAGGACTGAGTGGGATCTCCCTGAGAAACTTTCTCCACGAAGGCCTTAGTTGCAGGCTAGATCGCTAGAGATTCCCCAGTAGTAGAACAGAACATTTTTGCTGAAGCGGAATGGAGACTGACTCATGCTACAGCTGGGTCGCTTGGGATGTGGGACACCCAAATTAAAGTCTCTACTCGACCTGATTTGCAATGAGCTGGGGTAGGAAAAAAAACCTCTGCTCTCAATCAGGCTTAACAAAGACTTGAACCTGGGTCTTCCACATCCCAGGTAAACATAACTTACACAGACCCATACCTACTTGAAAAGTTGCCATGAACCTGAATTGTCATCGACTGGTCAGCTCTAACCCACCGCAATGATTTTGTTCAAGGCCGGTTTCAACTAGGCCCTTGTGAGATTATAGACTCTCAGAAAGGTAGGACTGGATGGATGACCAAGTAAACCTATGAATGTTCACTATCAGCCAATGAGCTAAGAAACATACCTTTAAAGCGGCCCAGAGCATCTTGCTTTTAGCCAGTATCTACAGCCTGCAGGAGGCCCCAGCAACTCGTTGCTCAGTTAGCTGTAGATGGAGCCTTTGGGCCTCAAGTATCCCAGAATCTTGTGTGCTGGTTGTTCGTCACTTTAGTATACTGTTGCAATCAGTGCAAAGGATGATGGGACAAGTAAAGTAAATAAAGCTGAGTGGTGCTAAAGACCATTTTGGAATAGAAAATCAGAGGGGCTGAGGTGGACTGAGCTGGGGAGAAAGGGATTGATGAGCACTCTTCCATCTGCAGTGCTGCTGACATACCAAATGCACTAGGCTGGTGGCAGGAGTTGGTGTTAAACTCAGGTGTCCTGGCCAAATTCCTACTTGGGTCAGTGCAGAGGGAAATTTAGGCAGGCAGAATGCACTTTCAGTTGGATATAGCTTATTGCGGTGTGTGGCTCTACCTAGCTGACACATTGTCCACCATTCAAACATAGCCACGATGTGAGTGAACGTGCTGCTTCTGAGGTTAGTAGTGTAAAGCACTGTGTGAGCTTTCAGGAGGAGTTACTATAGCAATGTTTGTCATTAACCCGTATTCAGCATGCATCTTACCTTCAGGGTAAACTGACAACCATTGACCTTTCATCTTCAAGGGGAATAGTGATTTAAACAAGTGCCTCTCATCACTGCTACAGAACGGATTAGTGTTCTGAACACCTGCTTCCCACTTCAGGCAAGACTAAAGGCAGGCGATTGGTCCAAGGTCTACCTCATCCACCTTACCCTCTTTCTTCTTTCAGGGACTCAGCTCCGCAACCAAGGACACATACGATGCCCTCCAGATGCAGCCGTTGCCCCCTCACTAAGTGGCATTCGTGCAGTGGACGGGCAAGACTGAGACAAGTCCAGATGCTTTGGGCGAGGAGAGAAGGGAAACAATCATCAATCCAAAAAAGGCCATTCAGTCAACACCCATTTTTTCAGGACTGCAAATTATATATGCGTGGTTCATTGCACAAAGTAGGACAAATCTGGATTTAGTTCCCCTCCTCCCTTCCCCCCTTCAAAACTATACAATCTCAAGCTTTAGCTTTTAAATGTACATATCTGTAAAACTATTCCTAATGATAGTGGCTGTTTTGTACCAGCAAGTGTTGGGCAGGAGACTAGGACGTTGGGTTCTCTTCCTCCTCCTCACTGAGCTGGTTTCTCTGGCTATTTAAAATCCCCCCAAAACTACACCCTATTTACCCACCTCACAGGTGGTTGACATTTAATTACTGGCTAAAGCACTTTTAAGGTCCTCATAAGGAAGGTGCTATAGCTACCCCCAGTATTATCTACAGGAAGACTAATCTGCATCAGCATAACTATGGCAGTCTCGCTCCAATATTTTTCTGCTGTAAATTTAGCTTTATTTCTAAGTTGGTTTTAGCTGTGGAGAGCTGTTCTTACTGTAAATGACGACATGTTTCTAGAGTGAAAGACAAAAGCTAAAAGCCGGCTCTACCTTGACAGTGTGAGGAGGATTCAGTGCTAGGCTGCAACAAGAGATCAAGAAAACAACATCCCAGTGTGACCAGTTCTTGCAGCACATGGACGGCATCCAGAAATGCTAATGGACATATATGAAAGCTAGGACACCTTTACCAGCGAGGTTCCATGGTAAAAACAGGAGTGGTGCAGCATACAGATTATGCTCGAGAACACTGGGAAAGTTGGGATTTAATTAAAAAGGCAAGTTTTTTAATCGACAATCCAAAACTTGACTTCTCTCTTCCCTCACTGTTGCTCAAGCCACACAATTTAAGGGATATTCCTTCCCCACTTAAAATACAGCACCGAAGTATGTTCCTGTTATATAAAACAATGCGAACAAGTGATGAGTTTTTTGCTAAGGAAAGTGTACAAAAGTCGAAAGAAATGTAAGAATTTTTAAATACCTTGCAGGATAATTTTAAAGATGAGGAGTACAGATTCAACACAAAGGTGATGGTGGCTCAGCAATTCAGATGTTTTTTGATGAGGTAATAAAATGGATGGGGAAGCCATGGATGTGTAAATGTGTTTAACTGAGCCGTGTGCCAGTCCTGCTGCTGCTATCCTGCCACAAGGGCTGCCTGCACCCACCTGAACAGTCACAATAATGATGTCAAACTAAGCCAGGCTGGACAAGGTTAGTACTTGCTGGAAGGCGGCCATCCAACTATTGCTGAAATCTGTGCTGGTGGCAGCAATATCTTCAGGCCTGGTCTGTATGTAGGTATTTTTTTGCACTGCTTTAATAATGATATTGGTTTAGAAACAGGTAAACTTACTGAAATGAGCTATACCAATACAAGCACCTTTTATAGTGATATAAATGCATCGGCAGTGGGATGTTGGTGATTCTACACATTTTTTTTGTACCACCTGAACTATATAGTTTCTAAATCAATACAAACACTGGCGGTAGACAAGCCCCTTAATATGGCATTGCGGGCCCTCTCAAATATAAATTTTTGGACTTACTATTCCTGTTGGGAGACAAAATGATTAGCGGCATGGAAAGATGGAGTAAAGGGGATATGCTAGAGTGTCCGCTAAAACAACAAGCAGAGAAGGTAAATCCAATACTCATACTTACCCCCTTTCATAATACAAGACCAAGCTGCCAGTCACTGAAATTAGAAGACATTGTGTTTACAACTGCCAAAAAGAAATTGTTATATACAACACAAATAAGCTAGGACCTAACAGCTATAGGGCAGTAAAGCCTAGAGTTTCATATGAGATTTTTTAATATGTGCTAGGGAATAAGACAACCACTAACCTGGGGGAGTTAACAGGAAAGTTCCCCTTTATGCTGTCTCTAGCTATGGGAGGATGTTGGCTCTCAGAAGTTCCCTCTAGTATTTCTTCCAGGACTCGCAAGGCATCGAATCTGCAAGGTGGTTTGAAGACTAACAAACTGGCTTTTGGCAGAGGGGCTGGCCCTCGTGCTATGCACATGGTAATTGCATCCTTTCCCATTTTCCAAATTCAGTCTTTACATTCAAGAACCTTTGTCCACAGTCCCAAGAAGACAACCCAGACTGCTGATTCTCTTTTAAAAAAAGAGGAGTGGACAATGCAATGGTGGCAGAGCAAAAGCTTCTCGATGAGAGCTGATCACCTGCAATATCCTGCAGTCTGTTCGGCACAACTGACAAATAGCAAGAGGGAACATCTCTCAGGCCCAGCTTGGTGGATCTGAGGAACAGAAATGAGATTTTTGCCCTCCAACTATTGACGTATTTAAAAACCACAAACAAGTACATACATGTTAAAACACTTGGAAAATGGTTTAATGATGTTTACAACAGAAATGAACTGTACAGTTACAGTAAGTTTAATATATATAAAAAATTACAGCAGACAAATGCATCTACACAAAATCTACCATTTCATCCTGATTCACTGTAATCTACACAATCTCTCAATGCCTACAGCCACCTGCAGGCAGCCACTGGGAAAAAAAATAAAGGGCATCTTTAAAGAAACAGCATCCCTTTTATCCCCCCCATCAAGAAAAAGATATCAATTAGTTTCAAAATCAGAGGGGTCTTTCACATTTCAGTCTCAAGACCAGATGAGAATGTATTTCATCTGGGTACAAGTATCGCATTAAGGTCCCTGACTTCAAGTGTTCAGCTGACCCCAGGTGTACAAGTGATAGTATAGGAGGAGAGGTGAGAAAAAGGGTTAACACACAGACTGCAAATTTATCTTTGGCTGAAGAGACGCATAAAAGGATCCCCCCCCACAGGCTATTCACTATTCACAACTCATTGCTTCACTAAAAGTTATTGGCCAGCTTCAGCGGAAAGGTTTTTTTCCCCAAATTCCAACTTTTCACTCAAAGAGAAACTGATGTTTTCAAACTAATGTGCTTCCAAGATTTTTCTTAAATAAATCTCGGGCCACTTTCTAACTGGCCCCCCCGCCAAAAAAACAACGGAAAACACCCTTTGACCCAGTTATGTAAAAAGTAAATTCAGGTCTTTAGAAAAATTAAGGATGCTGTCTCCTTAAAAAAGAAATAAGGAATCCCAGCTGGGAATGGCAGTCAGTGAAAATGCAATCCAAATTGACAGTCTGGTGGAAGGTTCATTATGGAATATTATGTACACTTTAGAACTTTTTAATTCTTTTTAATTATGAACACCTAGGCAGTGAAAACTGTTATGTTAATACATACATAGACACACCCAAAACATACAAAAATACTATTATTTCAAACTACTAAGAATAGGACAGTTCAGTTATCTCCATGCTATGACTTTAAGAGCATTACACTGAAACAAACAAGAATTTAAACGACAATTCTTTTAATATCCCAGAAATATACCAAAATATACATCTAAGCTTTGGAATTACTGAGGTTAGACTAATGCAAGTGCTGGGTAATCGTACTTAATACACAAGTCTAAGGTTCTGCAGGAAAGAAATTATCTTTGGTATCTGCATCAGGCTAATATTATTAACATTTGGATTTTGCTTTGGGATAGAGCTTGTATGACCCTAGAACCAAACACCCCCCAATCAACTGAGATTAAAAAGATCCATGTATAAAGTTCCTTCATTTGCAATCCCCCCCCAAAAGTTAAAAAGTCACAGGCATCTACCTAGCATAAAAGGTTGAGAAATACAATGCATAGTTGCACAGTGGTGCTGCAAAAATAATAACAATATAGAAAAAAAGCAACTAGAGGAGAAATGAAAAGCTTTTTCTTCTTTCGGAGATTTCTCACAACAGGACAGCCTCTTCCAAGCAGTTACGGGGGGGAGGGAAAAAAGCTAAGAAGTGCACCTCAGCGTGTATTAATCAACATCACCCAGCCCCCAAAGGGTTAAAGCACCTATCAGAGCAGCCAATCATGCACCAATGTCTTCAGCTTCTCAACCAATCTGTGGCGCTGCAGCAACCCATCTGCTCTCCCAACCCACCTTCCCCAGTGGCTGCACCCTGGGTTTTTGTGAGCTTAAAGAGCAAGTTTCCTCCACAACACATTAGCAAAGGGTGGGATGGAAATTGCCTGGATCAGGTTGAGTCCATTTTGCTGTGGAAGAGCCACACAGTGTCGGGCCATGGGAAGCCAGGCATTCCACTTTAGCAGCCTGCTGGGAACCCCCTTCCTCCTCTACCAGGGCTGGCCTCACAGATGGGATTGCTGAAGACGCCCCTTTGTCTTTGGTTTGTTTGTTTGTTTTGAGTTTATACAATCATTAGGAAATCTTTGGTTTTGGCTGGAAATTTTAAAAGAACAAAACAAAACAAAGAAACCGCCCCCCCGGCTTATAGCAGCGCACCGTGACCTGTCAACGCTTCTCTTTCCCATGGGGGTGGAGGAACTACATTCAAAGTAAAGGTGGAAGGGATCAAGGATGCAGCTTCTGGACAGCCCGGGGGATACAAGATTGTCAAATAATAAAGAAGAAAATTAAATATTTGGAGAATTTTCTGTTTTGGTCTTTTTTTTTTATTTTTTTTAAAAAAGGATGAGTAGTGTGTGCGCAGCACTCAGCTGAAAGAAGCCTTCAGGGACCTGCCTGACCCTGGAATTTCAGTGAAGTCCTGACACCAGGAGAGCGGGGAAAGGCAGTTGTGGATGTTTCATGCACAGATTGGAGGGAGGGTGCCTTTGGATATTCACAGACTAATTGAGAGGACCCCTTGTAACCAAAAGAACTAGGAGAAGATTGCAATTTGCCCTCATTTTGCAGTAGCTTTTAAGCAGCGACATTCAGAGGCTTTAGGGGGTCACTCCCCAGGTTGCAGGTCACGGGCTGCTATATGCCAGAGTTCAACGTTAATCAAGGGAGGGAGGGCAGACTTGGCAACTCTGTAGGGTTTGGAGAAAGTTAAAGCAAGTTACTCAGTTACGAGTTAGAAATGAGGTATACGACAGCTCCTGTACCTGTGGCGGATAAACACCCCACACCTAGCCTTAGACACTACTGCAGAGGAAGGAAATGGAACAACAGCAGCACTGGCAGGCATGGAGATGGCTACTGCACTGATCCTTCTGATAGACAGTGGGCACGTGATGCTCTCCAAGGTGATCAGCACTTGCCCCCCCCCCCACCAGAACTGCCCTATTCACATTACTCCAAACCAATGACGGGCAGTTCTGCAGTGCCTCTTTCCTCTCCCTGTTGCAAAATGAGGGTCCAATCCTGCTCCCAGTTCTCAAAAGGTAGCAGAGCTGGGCTATGAGTCTGCATAGGTGTCTCAGCTTGCTGAGATTTCATCCTTCAGCTCACTTGTGCAAAGAAGGTACCAGGACCAACACAGTGAGGGAGACTGGGGGAAGGACTGTTTTTTTTTAATCTAAACTACCTTGTTCTGAAGGACACTATCAAGGGTGCTGTGTTTGATTTTTATAAGAGCTTTCATTTCTGAAGGGGGCTGTGTGATTTCCATGGTTTATGACTTGGCATAAATAGTTTCCAGTGTCCTGGATGGAGCCAAAACAGGATCCTCTTTGTTTAATAATTAGGATTTCTATAGCACCATAGCATGCCAGCACCATCCATAACATTAGCACAGCTCAGAGAATAATGTTTGTTAACTAGATGCTGCTACAAAAATCAGCAGGGGGCAATACATAATTTTAGTGGGTCCCACAATATTAGATTGAGGAATTTTGGGGGAGGAGGAGGAGGTGGTTAGTTCTTGGGGACAGAGTGTAGGATTGAATATTATTTTATGGTCTATATAAAACTCTGGAGGGAAAAATTCCCCAGCAGACTAGAACAATTTTAAGGTAAATTACATTTTTGGCCTGAGCTATTTGACAATGTCTTGCTTGGTAGAGAGATGAAATAAGGCAGAGGGGGTGCTCCAGTCCTGGGGCAGAACAACTCAGTAGCACTAAGGAATCCCAAAGGATATCACCCTCCCTTCCCTCGCCCAGGTTGTTTCATTTCCTTCCTCAGATTTGTTTACCTTAAAGCACACCTTGTTTTCCACATCTTTTGTTCCAAGTGCTCTTATAATTGAGAAGTCATTTCTTCAATATCCCTATTACCTACCTATAAATCTATCTAGCTCTTTGAAAAGTCACACAATATTAATACCACTTTTACATAATGTCAGAACAACAATTCTATTAGTAAAGCTTTCAGTGAAGTTCTGCAACCCGATTGGTTTCCGGAGGAAGAGTAGCTGGACAATTCATCTATTTTCCACCCTTTCCCTTTCTTCACAAGCGTTCGCCAGGTTCACTGATAAAACAACTCAACCCAATAGCACAATACATGACAATGTTCATGGCTATTTTGGGGAGTAAAGAAAGGAGTTTCCTGGGTCCCCCATCTTTAGAAGAGAAAGACAACACATGCAGGATGTTGGAAGGGACTCTGACCTTGGTACCACTGCTTCCATATTTGAAGGGAAGAAACAGTTTTTCCTATTTCCAGCAGCAGCTGAGACCTAGGCTGCTGCATTGAGCAATCCCCATATGCAGTTTGTCCTCACAGAGCCAAGACATCCCTGTGCACAAAAAGGTGGCAACATCCACAAGAGACGAGATCCTTACAGAAAGGGACATCCACCCAAAGCGCGAAAAAGGCCCAGCTTTTCCTCTTATCTGCTCTGACAACAGCAGAGCTGACGACTCATCAGTGCCTTTGGTTCCCTACCAAGCCATTGGAAATTCTCCCATCCCAATGGAGCTCTGAGCTCCTTAGAAATTCACCTCTTTAGATCCACACAACCACTCAAAAACTCACTCACTCGCTCACCCACCTCCTCACCCCCACCCCCCTTTAGGGAAGTTGGAAGAATGGAAAGGATGCCTTGAAGTCAGGATGGAAGAGGCCAGGAATTCCTCCCAAGTCATCACCACTTCCCCCAGTACTCCCACCCAAAGCCAAGACAAACACCATGAGAGGAATGCACCTCACTCCTCCCCAAACACCCCTCCCCCCAGACTGACTCACAGTATTTCGATCCTTTCAGGTACACCAGCCAGGTGCTAGGAGCAGGTTAGCTTTCACTTCTCAGTTTGGTTTTTCTTTTGTAGTTTTTGGTCTAGACAGGATTAGCATTGCTATTAGAAAAGGAAGTGTTTAAAAAGTTTTCCACCTATTATCAAGCACTACAAGCCCTACATTCAGTAACAAGACAAGGGGGATAAAAGGAACTGGTTTCATTTTTGCTCTCTCAGTTAAATTAAGATGCAACAACTATTCTCTCTTTCCCAAACTTAAATGCCATGGCCCCAATTCAGCCCTGGTGCAACTCCACTGGCTAAAATGGATATACCTGGGCTGAATCTGACCCAATATCTCCATCTCCTCTCTCCCAAGCTCCCAATATATACACACCTTGCCTAATCTTTAGATCCCTACAAAGGCCCTTATTATTCGTAAGGAAAAGGCAGGGAGGGAGGGGAAGCAGGTGTGTGCCTAAAGGACCCTGAACAGCCACCCAATCAGTAACCTGCATGCCATCATGTGCTGTGCTGCAGATTAGACCACAGATAAACCAACCAAACAACAATCCCAAACCCAGGAGCAACAAAATGTTTCCTTTGGCAAGACAGATACAAGGAAAAAAATTCATGAGCAACATTTTCCTTCTAACAGAGTCAACTCCCTTCGCTCTGCCCCCACCCAACATCCCCCCCTCCCCCCCAACCCTATAAAGTTGTAACCTATCAACAGGATCTCAAATACATACAGCATAATCATGTTTATCAATCATAATAAACATCAGTTCAACTAAACTCTACAGCTAGAATTATCTCCACTATTTATAAAGTTTGTTTTTCTCTTCTGATTTTTCAGTTTAAAACCAGTTATGTGACAATGCTAAGCTATGCTGAGGTATTTTATGAAGGTGCCAGAAGCCAGCTGCTAATCACAAGCATTGTTCTCACAGCTCTGTGGTGCTACCTCTTACTGAAGGAGGGGGAGGGAAGGGCAGGAGTGGGACCCAGATTATTCCAGTTGGGGACCCTCCACTTACTCAGGGACAGGAACAGGAACAGGAACTGAAATGTCTCCCAAGGAGATTCACCCAAGCAAAGCATGCTTTGCAGGGAGTATTGGCATAAAGCCCAGGAGATGCTCCATGATCAGAAATTTAGTCAGAAAAGCCATATGTGGTGCGTTTGACATACCTGACCACACCAATCTATTCTGTCAAACCACATACTCTCTCCTCCCCAAGAATAAAACTATCTGTAGTTCCACTGCAGTCTCTAAAACCCTCCAGATGGAGTCCCCAGGGAATGAATGAAAGAGTAGTCTGTTCATTCAGGGTATGGGCATGCATATGAGAGAAAGAAAAAGGAGGACAGAGTTGGATTAGTACAAGTATGCAATCAGATTGACATCTGAATTATACTGGTTAGGGATGAAAGCAGGAATGTGTGTACATAGCAAACTGATACGAAGAATAAATGAAGGCTCAACATTACTACCACCTTAATCAGACAGGATAGAGTCACAAAGCAAGTGGTAATTATTCCATTCATCCTCCTCGTTGATGATGAAAGTCAGAAGAGAACAATCATGTTTTTATATTGTACTGTCCGTGTGTATAGCTATATGGGTGCATGCACGTGTATACACATTTCATTCCTTTCAATGCTCTGACGTAAACTGCTTTTAGGTTTATAGAATCTGATCCTATTCTGAATGGGTGGCAATACACAAGATACTAAACATAATAATTTGCAAATCATGAGTCAAACAAACAACAGATTTGCATTAGATTAGAAAAAAGAGCAGATGCCACTATATCCACATGCAATGCCTGTATCTTAACAATACACAAAAAGAAAGGTGGTTGTACCAAAGACATATGCATGTTAAATGCTCTGTAAGATAGGAGATCCATTGTCAAGTGCCAAAGACACTCTATGATCTGATCCAACTCCCACTGGAGGCAAGGGAGACTCCTACTGACATCAATGGGAGTTGATTTTGACTCTTCTAAAGAGCAGAACCAGTGCAACTGAACTTCTTGAAGTGTGAATTGTTTTAACAACTTTCTGGGTCATATTTTTGTAACAACTGCCTAACAAATTCAGAGCAGGCTGGTTACAAATGGATAACTATATAATGGATGTATTCATCAACCAGTCAGATTCCTCCTTTGATAATGTCCAAGAGAGAGTATATAAAAGACAGAATTGAATTTATTCTCAATATATGTGTGTGTGTACACACACGTACATACAAACTTAAGATAATCCTATTTTTCCTCAAGACAGCAGAATTCAGTTTAACTGGCTATAACACAGTTAAATGGACATGTTAAGCGTTTATATTTAGGATTTTGCCCAAAGATAACCATAAGATAATTGGAAATGCTATTTTTTTAACCAAATGTCATCAATAGCTAGGATCTGATGTAGTATTTAGTTTGTCCCAAAGCCTCTATTTCCATTACAAAAAGAGCTCCTTTCTGACAATTTTGTAAAGTACAGTTTCAAATTGGGACGAGAACAATTTTATTTAGTAA